ACGAGAGGTCGAGCAGACAATGTTCACGTCTATCGAAGTTGCGTCATTTGTGGAAGAATAATTAGGGTTTGACTACTTAGTCTAATCTTCTTTTATTAAGGTGCTTTTTAAGCAAGAGCATCCTGATAAGCTAAAGAAAATAAGCGTAAATATGGTGTGAGTGGATAAACAACTGTATAAATCGAGATGGTTCAGAAAGAAGCTGAAAGTATGGGATTATGTGTAGTTAAAAAATATAGTACTGAAAACAGTATTCTGATTCAAATATGGCAATCCTCCATTTTTGTCGAAGGTATATCAACTAATGTTTATTTTACAGATTTTATGGAGTCATGAGCAGGCCTTGTTTTTAATGAATTGTCTAATTTTGTTTGTAATAGGGATCGAATTTATCTCCCCACCATCGTGTTTGCTAGTCAGTAAAGTTATCCTCCCTCCTTTTGTGATGTTAGGCTCTCTTACGTTTGTGGTGTGTATAAATATTGCTTTAATCTGAGGTCCGTGTCTGAATACACTGTCACTACTAATTCCATGTTACAAGCGAATCAGACAGTTAAAGCTTCTCTATTGTGGGTTAGACATCCGTTTAGTATATCACACTGCTATGAATATAACTAATAGTATGAGTTATGAAACATAGGTTAGATTATATGTGGTTCACAGATGGTAATGATAGATAACAAATCAAAGAATATGAAAGAGTTTAGAATTGTAAAATCTTCTGAGTAAGAAAATAAAACATTAAGCGACTCACAAGAATGTCGGACATTATGAACTTTTTATGATAGGCTATAGTTGATTAGGATCCATGAGATTATTGAATTCTGTTTACTTTTAATAGAAAAAAGGACATGACACCTACGAAGAATAATGCAATTTTAAGCACTAGAGTGATTTGGAATCTGAAATTGAGGGGGGGGACATAAGGGCGTGAATAATAACCAGTGAATACTAGGAGAGGGTAATCCGTTTGTTCTGTCACTTGGCTATATTCATAATAATGACAGCTGTAGTCCGTTATATTCATGATAGGTCACTGTGAAACCAATTAGCCTTCTAGATTTAGAAATAATAAACGATGCATGTTCTTCGAAATTTAGGCTTCGTGTGTAATTCATACCTTTATCGTGTATTGCTTTATGTGTTTGAACTTTACATTTATTTAAGTAAAGTTTTAATTTATAGGGGTGTTTTCCAAAGTGCATGATCTCACATCTATTGATCATAAAAGGTAATTGCTATTTATCGGTTCAGATAGTCAGGTTACTAGGGTCACTTTGAGTCTGGGATATACTTTCGCTTAGAGCTTCAGGCTTAAAGCTATTCACCATATTGAGATAATCAGCGTATAAATATGGTCTTCCAAATTTTATGGTGTTACATATACGGTTTATATAAGTAAGAAACAAGAGTGGATCTGACACACTCCTCTGGATGACTTCACTAGTTATTGGTTCAGGTGATGAGAGAGTCATCATATTTTACCATATGTTTACGTTCTACTAAGAAAAAAGCAAAGCATGAGTATAGTGGGTTTCTTATTCCAAAGGACTTTAGTTTGACGAGAAGCCTTTTGTGTGGGAGCTTAACAAAGGATCTCTTAAAGTCTAAGAATAGAACTGATGCAAAGAGTCTGTTGTTCCGTTTCAGAAATATCTACAAGGAACGTATCGCATGAGCTAGATCAAAGAAACCCAAGGGAGGTTGAAATGAGACTATTAGTAATTACATGTTGAACTACTGTCTCCTTAACTACTTTTTTCATCATTATAAATACCATTGAGGTCGTGTTTATGGACATATAATCCTCAACATTTGCTTCAGGTTCTGTCTTCATTTTGAGGATGATATGTGGAATTTTCCAGACAGTAGGGTAACACGCTGAAGAGAGTGATATCGCAAATAGTTTAATACTTAAAAGATATATTATCACTTCCAATTTTTAGCATGCTAGCCGGAATGCCATCTGATCCATCAGAATAAGAGTGTTTCAGTTTGCTAATGGCCATAGAAATATTCTATACATTTTGATCTACATTAGTATGTTCACAGGAAGGTACTAGAATTGGCTCTGATTCATTTAGTAATTTTGCGTTAGTTAATGAGGAACAAAAGTGTTCACCAAATAGTTCCGTAACAAATTGTGGATGTGTTAGTTTTGCTTCCAGTAAAGAAGGTTTCCAAATGAGTGCTTTATAGGTAATTTTGGAATTTTTTCCAATAAACCTTGTGATAGTATCTACGAAGTGTTACAGTTTTACGTCCTCCGGTTGTGGTTCTTATATTAAGGCTACATGTGACAATGCTATGACCATTAAGTCAAAACGTATTTCCGATAAATACAATATTGCGGGTGAGGTTACGGTGGACAGCTAAACATTAGCGAAATGAAATTCGAAGGCTGCCACGTGGTGTTAATTTGATGTAGACCGAGCAGTGGAACCACTTCCACTCAGCTTCAGTAGGCTTAGTGTATGCAGATTTCTCACTAGTTTGGTCCATTGTCTCAAAACCCTTTCAAGCATAACCACTTCAACTTTAAAACAATGAAATAGCTGCTTAAATCCCCTATTCGAGATTCGAACTCCTAGGTGCCAGGTATAATATCGTGCTTATTTTTTACCGAAACACGAAGTGACACAAAAAATTCTGTATCAGAAACAACAGAACAGATAACTGGTTCTAAAGAGTGGATAGACTAGTAACTTTAGGTAATGGGATATGGTTTATTGTATAAACATTTATTATACAGAATAGCTCATTTAGATTAAGACACTTCCGTTAGAATTTGACATTAATGAAAATCAAGCTGTCCAATTAATTATAGTCTTTTAACTCGTCCCGTACTTCTATTTTACAACTCATGCTTGTTACCCCCACCAGCATTCTCCATCCAACACTGTCCTGGGCAGTCCGTTCCAGTTGCTTTTAGTAGTTATTCATTCTTGTATGTATCCTTCCGATTCTCGACGCACTGTGTTCTTTGGAGCATAGCACAATCACAACCATTCTCCATCCAACTCTGTCTGGGACAATCGTTTCCAGTTCTAATTCATCCTTTTCATGTATGCTACTATTTCTCGATGCAGTGTGTTCTTCGGCATTACTCTTTCCCGTTTCCCTTCAGAATAACAAGTTAGCCCTTGTCTCATGATGTAGTTTGATGATTTCCACGATGTGTGTCCTATCAACTTTCAACGTCTTTTCCTAATTTCCTCTTCAGCTGAAATCTGGTTTGTTCTCGTCCACAGTAGGCTGTTGCTGATGGTATCCGGCCAACGGATGTTGAGTATCTTGTGTAGACAGTTGTTTATAAATACTTGTAAATTTTTAATTGTGGTTGTGACAGTTCTCCACTTTTCGGCTCCGTACAGTAGAAATGCCTTGAAGTTCATATTGAAGATTCTGACCTTGCTATTTGTTGACAGTTGTTTTGAGTCTTATATATTCTTCAACTGTAGGAAGGCTCCTTTTTTTACAAATGCTCGCCTTCACTTCTGCATCAGACTTTTTACGTATATAGAGGTTTATTCAGCCAGAAAATTCTAATCTTTCGTTTAAGTCCGATCTCCAATTGTAGTAAGACCATCCGTTGCACACGAAAGGTTCAAATAATCTTTTTCTTTAATTTAACCAAAACCCTAATGACGTTAGCTGAAGATAGCCACTAACCAAATGTTCACTCTCGGTTTTATAAGCCATATTGTTTAATGCAGCTGCCCAGCTTCTTGGCGGATCCGATTATCTCAGAGAATTATCATCTCTGGCTTCTGATTTTATTGAAATGTTATTCTTAGGTGATATTGATTTGGTAGGGAAATGTTTTGTCGATCCATGAGTATCTGTGGAGTCGTTATTTATAGGTGCTATTGAAACTTCAGTGTTATAACTTTTTTAAGTAAAAGAAGCTAACTTCTTGTTCTTTGAGATCATCATCGATATCAGGAGTCCTTTTGGTTAGTATTTTTCTGTTGAACTCGTAAAGAAAATAGCCTCATGCTATCGAGTGGTAACATCGAGATTATTCTCTGTCGATTCCTATGGGACTAAAGTAAGTATTTAACTCAAAGTATATAGTCAAATCAATGAGAAGCAAAAACCTTTACGACTCAAATATATAAGTAGAGTGTGTTACTGCTGTAGAAATACAAAAATTATCAAGACCACTGGGAAACATCTTGATGCCGTTCTTCTTACCAATTTTATGACGCAGGTTAAAGGTTTGGCACCTGCTTTACAGCCAGTTGTGTTTATCCATACCTCTAGTTTCTTTTCACTGACTTCGGAACCAAAATCGTATAATGTTTAGTGTACAGAGATTTGGTGACTAATTCTTTTTAAATGATACATTGCATTACCAATTTTAAACCTAAAGATGTCATAGATGTTCAGGGTTCGACAACGTATTTGTCCGTGTCATCTTTTTAATCAAATCAGAAGTCATGTATAAATGAGTCCGAAGATGTACCTGGAAGGTTGTCTATATGTTAAGAAGCATTTGATTTATGGCTGATAGTAGTTGCAAGCAGTGAGTATCTAGCCATACCCACTAGTGATCCGATGAGGATGCGTAAGCGAACTCATTAAGTCAAGATGTGTACAGTACAACTAATTTGGCCAACATCAATGTGGAACACTTACAGACCTATTTATTTCGTGGATTTATGGCTACATGTCGGAAATCATTTTGCTATTAAATCTGCCATAGCTGTAATAATTCGAGAATGAATATTATTCTGACCACTTAGTTTATGTAGTTTGAGATGTTTAAGTAGAGGTACGACAACTCATAATGCCCAATCACTTGAAAATCATCATTTTGCCTGAAACACAAGTTTTATGTTCATAAAAGCCCATGACAATTATTAAATTTCTCTCTATTTTAGACTCTTCTTCTACAACCTATAAATCAATTCTTAGTAGTCAAAAATCATTTAGTTTCTCCTAGAAAAGTTTTGGATTTGTAAGCGTTTGTTGTACTGAGCCAATTTGTCATGTTCAACATTTACATTATTTTTTAAAAGTTAGTGCAGGTTTTCGCAGAATCAGAGGGTAAATATTTGTCGTGGTAAGCTTCGAGATACCCGTATCGTATACCATAGGAGATTTAGTTTCCTTTTTTTAGTCGTAGGCGTCTGGGTTAACTTCTTTTTTTTTCTGTCGATTTTTAACAAGTTATTATAATTAACGGCGCAACGTTGTGCCGTGCTGTATACAGCTTGCATGAAAGCTTGCATTGAACTAAAACGAATCGCATATCTTTGCATTTACTACTAAAATGCTTGGTGAGCGAATGACACAGCCAGCTGGCTGTGGATTTTCAGATTTCTGACCCGATCTCTCAATTTGGGGGTAAATTTAGAGGATTAGTCTTATAAGCATATGTGATGGGTCAAAATGTTTACAGTCACTCATAGCAAATGTACAGATTATGAGGCTTAATGAAAAAAATGCAAATAGTCCCAAACAACCAAGAAATTTGCCCTTTGTTCGCCTTTATTTCCCCTTTGTTGGTTGCTTGGGGTATCGAAAATAGATTACAAAATCAGTTTGTCATGACTATATTCTCGTATTTGCAGGAAATTCTGGGTTTTTTTGCCACTTCCCTAAAATTTTCTACAACGCATTCCCCAATATTCCTCCAGGACGGATAAAGATTTTCCCAAAATAGGTAGATTGGGTGGTAATCCTAGATTCTTATAGCCAATAATCAATATTAATGTCATACTATTTATTGTGTGGTGATGTTAGCTAACGCAATAACCGGGCTGAATTGCCGCGAGTTTTCTATAACTTACTTTGACGACTACCGATTTACTCGCTTAACCCGGTAATTTAAATCTTTGTATCATCCTACCTCATCATCAATGTGTATATGTCCCCATACATTAATGTTGCCAGCAAACAGCATTTCAGAAAACATGAGGTTTTCTGGCAAAAATTCATGAACTGAAATAGTCTAACAGCTTCCTAGAGTTCATTAATTTTCACGTCTTCAAGTGCAATCTTTGGTGAAGCTAAATGCTACCAGTTTCACAAGTGGAGACATGAAAAAGAATTCCTAATGTCTTTATGCCGAGAAGTCTTTTTAGGTGGTATTAGGTTGTTGAGCAAAGTACACTATGGGTACGGATAGGTTACTCAGCAGCAAAACACTTAAAATAAGAATGGTTGAGTTGAAATAAATAAAGAATGAAAACAGAAGTTACGAGTCAGTATTATTTTTAAGAATAAGGTGAGTATTAATATGGTGGTGGTAGCTAGTTGAATGAATTATTGTTTACCTTGGTTCACTGATGAGTTTTAGAATGTATCTTCAAATACGAAAGGTTCTAGTGGTTATTGCTAGTGAGAAAAACCTTTTTGGCATCCCTTCTCATTACTAATGACTGTTAACCTGTTTTGTAGAGTCTGATTGAAATTACCAAAAACGTTGCGCAGTTTTTATTCATGAACCAACTAACAGACGGCGTGGCATGATACAACTTAACAAAGCCACTGATAGGTCGTGCAAATATTGGTTGTTTAAACATTGTATAGGGCTAAAATTCAACCATAAGTGAAAAGATGCATCACTCTTTTTCGTAGTTTTCTGAACGGATTCTCTTGTCGTTTGTTATGGGTGTTTTCCCACTGGTTGTTTATTTTGTCAGCCATTTCAAAATGCGAGATTTTACAACAATATTATGGCGGAGGTATGTAGTTAATTTCAGGTGATTATAAAAGTAGTTGATTTCTCAAGCAACCTGCAAAACAGAAAATAACTTAAATTCACCTGGTATTGTTTGCGTGAATCTTCCCATTGATGTTTAGCACTGCAATCGATCAGTTTCATGTTGGCGTATGTGCATCCTTTCAAATTGTCTGGAGTCACAAGTATTATAAACAAAAATGGATAGTGGTTAGCAGTGGAATCCAGTTTGACGCGCGTTTCTCTTATTTGAGATCCGTTAGCTGGATGTAACTGCATCTCAGAGTTGACGTTCACTCTGGGACTCGAACCCAGTACTGTTCCCTTTGATTACCATCGCGTTACCCACTTAGGAAGAAACGCGCGTTCTGGATTCCACTGCTAACCACCATCCATATTTGTTTATAAAGAAAATAACTTAGCTTCAAAATATCACGCCCAAAGTATTGTTTTTTCCGCCTATTCAAATTATTTCACTACCCTTAAATGAAAATGTATGATAAATGACTTATTATGATTCACAATTTTCTCTGTTTTGCTGTACGTCTTATTGCTACATTTAATAAAGAAATATTTGCGTAGTTTTGAAGTGTTTTCTTGTAACCTTTGACGTATAACTTGGTCCTGTAGATACTATTTCAACCAGTGCTTTCTATAGAAAATTTACTAGAACATTTTTTATTCACAAAATATTTCTATAAACTACATTTCGTATTTTTCTTAATCGACTGTAACTCGTACCAAACACATGTTTTTGTCCTTGGTTTTGGGCTGTTGGTTTAAGTCACTACACGCGATAAAATATTGTCAGTATGTCGTTGCTACGATTTTCCTTGCGATCGCGCATCACATATGTGATGATACATACCTTTCTCGTGTCTTATAAACTACTCAATGTCAATTATTTGTTCCACTAAGATTATACTTGAAAGCCTTATTTTTGATATAATTTTGTCGCAAGCAGGAAATTTATTTGAAAGAGTTATTTGGCAAGACTATAATTTATGGACAAACTACCCATGTTAACGATAACAGGTCTTAGTGGCCCTATATCTGACTCCATATCAGAAGGCTGCGTGTTCGAATCACGTCGGGATCACCACTTTGGTGACCCTATATATGACTTCAATTAGATTGTATGTTGATCGCTATTTAAGTATACATGTCGTTAATCCTCCTTAGTGAACAACGGAATTAAATTATTCAAATACGTGAACGGATTTTTGAATACGTATATTCTGTATACTCGTTGATATGGACAGATCATCAGAGGGAAAAGGCAAAGAAAGCGAAGAAAAAAGGGCGAAAAAAAAATGACGCACGGTGGAGGCGTGTGAGCCAACTCCATTTAATCAAGCGTTTATCAATATTTATAGTCACACAAAAAATAAGCTACAGATATGTGATGAGTCGGATAAAATGTACTCACACACGCTCATATGAGAACAGTCATGGTTGATAAGCGAATAATTAACAAGGTCAAAACGTGACTTAAGAAGAATGAATAAATTAACCTTTCCAGAAGTTGGAATACGTTATGTGGGCTTAAAATAGTAACCGACACTACAAGGTCTTGGATTTTGGGGTGAAACCCATTTACCCATTTGACTAAATAGCGTTTTGGCATTTTAGCTGATATCAGTTCGTAATGAAAACCCCGAAACTAGTTCCTAAACCTAACCATCTACTGTAAATCACAATCCTAATTCTTTTCACTGGCTTATGACTCTCATTTAACCCTGGTAAGTAGGTGGGCATCTCCAAGGCCATCATAGCGTCGCTCAAAGGCGCAGAAAAGTAATCATTAGTATTTTTTGATTGCAGAATTTTTGTTAGGGTCTAATAGTATCAAGTGTTTCATTGAAGTAACGAAGAACTAATTTAATTTGTTTTTGAACCATATTAAATTTTTTTTAACTTTACAAACTACTAAATTGGAAGCGTAATTAGTTTGTTGAATTCCAGATAAGTACTTACCATCAGACTAATCAATAAGAACTCTGACGAACTAATTTACTATTAACATCAAAACAGATTCACCAATTCTTTCTTTAATGAATCCGCCAACATAACGCCTTGTTTGGTGATAAACTATTTTCGAATAGGAATTTTAAATCTGGCCCCTTCCCAGTGATAGATGTTTGTAAACAAGTACAGTTTCATTTTACGTTCAATTTTTCCTTTATCTCTTTGCTGTTTTGCAGCAGCAAAGATGTCAAAATCCATACCGGATTTGCAAGATTCTCTAGTAAATGATAAGGAAAATACAAATAATATTGTTCCTGTAAAAATGGAGAAAACTATTGGTCTTGTCAGCAGCATCACAATTATCATCGGTTCAATCATTGGTTCGGGTATATTTGTTAGTCCAACTGGTATATTAGAAAATATGCAGAGTTTTGGTGCTAGCTTAATTATTTGGATTGGGTGTGGAATTTTTTCTTTACTGGGAGCCTATTGCTACGCTGAGCTAGGCACAATGATTCAACGCTCAGGTGGAGATTATGCTTATGTGCTTGAAGCATTTGGTTCATTTATGGGATTTTTACGTCTGTGGATTGAAGTGATGGTAGCCAGACCAGCTACAATGGCTGTCATTGCTATGACATTTGCTAAATACATTTTACAGCCTATATTTCCTGACTGTCCACAGTCTAATGCAGTTGTACGATGTTTAGCAGCTGTATGTATCAGTAAGTAAATTCAATTGACTCAAACGTCTTTGCTTATTAAACAATGAATATCCATGATATAATCCTTTGGCTTATTAATTCATGTTGCGAATATGATTTTATCTGACCTTTAATATCATTTATGAGAATGTTTTAATGTTAGATTTCATAAATAAAAGTTTTGTGGTCCTATATCTGACTCCATTTAGATCGTATGCGGATTGTTATCAAAATATATATACCGCCAACCCTCGTATATATCTATCGACTTAAGTCACGTTAGGGAATAACTAGATTAAATAAGTCAAATACAAGAATGGACTTTTGGATACGTATATTTAGTACAGACTTCCAAATACAAGACAGAGAACACCAATCTAGTCACACTTTATGAACAAGTTCTGGAACTAGTGGAAACTTTCACATATCATGTAAGCAGCATCACTGATGAACAAGGTGGATGCGATGCAGACGAAAAGGCAAGGATTGACAAAGCAAGGATAGTATTGTCACAACAAAGAATATATGGAACTCAAAACAACTGTCAACCAGCATCCAAGTCACAAACTTAAATACGAACACGAACATCAAGACAGTCCTACTGTACGGAGCTGAAAAGTGGAGAACTGTCACAACCACAATTAAAAATTTACAAGTATTTATAAACAACTGTCTACACAAGATACTCAACATCCGTTGGCCGGATACCATCAGCAACAGCCTACTGTGGACGAGAACAAACCAGATTTCAGCTGAAGAGGAAATTAGGAAAAGACGTTGAAAGTTGATAGGACACACATCGTGGAAATCATCAAACTACATCATGAGACAAGGGCTAACTTGTTATTCTGAAGGGAAACGGGAAAGAGTAATGCCGAAGAACACACTGCATCGAGAAATAGTAGCATACATGAAAAGGATGAATTAGAACTGGAAACGATTGTCCCAGACAGAGTTGGATGGAGAATGCTGATGACTGTCCTGTGCTTCTCAACGAGGGCTAACATGTAAATGTATTTCATACACTTGTTGATCTGAACAGATAATTAGAGAAACGCAGTGAAGGGAGCGAAATGACGCGCAACGGAGAAGGCGAGTGAACCAATTCGTTTTCATCAAGAGTGATTCAATATAAATGGCCAGACAAAAGTAAGTTACAGACACGTAATTATTACGTCAAGCAATGGACATACATGCGATCGTATAAAAACAGTCAGGATTAATATACAAGTATTTGAGTAGGTCAAAATTTGCCTTGAGAAGAATGAATAAATTTGTCTGTCCAGATGCTAGAACAACCTATATGAGCTCGACACAGTATCAGCCACTACAAAATCAAGAGAGATATATTATTTAATAATGAATCACTTGGTCTCAGTTACAGCGATTAATTTTATGTTGTGCTACATTTATGGCACTGCATTTGCTTAACCTTCAAAGCTTAAACTTCTCATAGCTCAGTTTATTTTAGGTTTATTAAGAATTATTTTCATCCAATTTAAATGGTTCCCGTCTATTAATGCTAGCTAATCATAATTATTGAGTAGTAGCAGTAGTAGTAAAAGGTCTAAGCTACAATCTGTATGATGCAATTTATACCGCAGTTTATATACTAATCTGTGCCTTATAAAACGAAGAATCCTATCATGATAATAACGGTAAATAAAAATATTTCTACATTAATCAATATCTTTACGGGGATAAATATGTAAAGAAACAAATAATCTTGTATTTTTATACATACTGACTCAGTTCGACAATCATTTTTTTCACTAACTAAGGATTATTGAAGTTAATAAACACTTCACAGGTAATTTGTTCTTGTCTACGATTTATTCGGATACAAAGACTCAAACTATCTAGGAGATTCTATTGTACAAAACGTCTTAAATTACATCCATTGTTTAATGATTATTGCGCACTTCCGAAAAGTACTAGACAAGAGCAAAATATTTGCATAATCCTTCCTGAATATTCACTAGTTCTTTACTATCTGATATCAGTTTTTTAACGTAAACTTCTTACAATATTACTATTACTTCACTCATTTAGTATTTATTAATTATTGCTATAGTGATCCTGGGATTTATAAACTCTGTCTCTGTACGTTGGTCTACACGTGTACAGGATATTTTCACATATACCAAAATAATAGCATTATTAATGATTATTATTACAGGATTTGTACAAATTGGTTTAGGTAAGTTGAATTTGAGTAGACATATTATAGGTATATATTGCATAACAAATTTACTTTCTATTACAGATTATTGAAAATAAAAATCGGATGATATTAAGTCTAATAATTCTAACTTTGATTTGAGGTTTAACTTCATACAATTCCTAACTTTTCTAACATTTCAATAGGACATAAGGAAATGCTATTTTTGCATATATTCTCTTAGTTAGTTACACTTTGAGACTACATTCGAATCAATCTTTATATTAGAAGCAATGGAGTATATTGTGGTCAAGTTAAAAGAGTCAGTGGTGGAGACAGGTTACGGAAAATAGCGGACAAAGTAGAAGAACAAGTAATGGTTATTCGTGGAGGTAGTTAATAAAGGAAGAATAGAGACAAGAGTTTTTCTAGGGGTCAAAAATGAGTATCATTTACTAAGTACTCGTGATGAAACGGTTAATTTACAGTGTTCCGTGGAACAGTAGGAGAAAGGGTTAAATAGTTAAAAATTGTATACATGATTCACAGTAGTCCTGAATTCGTAATGTTGTTTATGTGAAACCAAGGTTTCTTTTCACATTCAATAGAAAATTTTCTCCTCTTGAAGATTGGAAAGTCATTGTTATTCAACTAGTGGCGTTTTGTGAAAAATACTCACTGACTGGCTAGATCTTCATGTTATAACTTTTGGCCTGTGTGCCCTGTTAATGTATACGTAATGATATCGATCGAATCAATGACGCATAAGAGCGGTGCGAGTAGTACAGATTACTTATCCTGCTTCCTGCCTAACCCACCCAGTTAAGTCCAGAACACCAATCTCAGCCACCACGACATGAATCATATATTTCAAACAAACTGGGTTTATATACAAACCAAACAGACCACATCACACCACAAATTAGAAAACAACATTTGTACAAGACTTAGCCAAATGTGACTATGAATGTGGGAGACTGTAATTAATAGACTGGGCATAACTCAAGAACGGTAAATCGTATAATAGTAGTCTATCAGTCAAAGTGAAGCTTATAATAAGACGAATATGAATATGCATAGTTTAGTTACTTAAAAATTATACAATATAAATATATGCATCGTAATGGTCAATAAATAGTTCTCAAGAGTTACCATTCATTATTTTTATCAGGACATAACACTTCAATACTAATACTTCATATAGACATTTGTGAAGTTTTTTAAACTATTATTCCAATATTTCTCAAATTCCAGGTCACGTTGAAGAATTTCAATCACCATTTGAAGGATCTAATTGGAATCCTGGAAGTATTGCCAAAGCATTCTATTCTGGTTTATTCTCTTATGCTGGTTGGAATTATTTAAATTGTATGATTGAAGAAATGAAAAATCCTAAACGTGATTTACCTATTGCTATTGTTTTCTCATGTCTTGTTGTGACTATTGTCTATACATTAGCTAATGTTGCTTATATTACTGTGGTTTCATTGAATGAAATATTAACAACACCGGCTGTTGCTGTAGTAAGTAATACTTATGATTTAATGTGAACAATTATTATTTTATTCATCCGTTTGAAACAGAATATTCTAATTACATTCGTTTATCGTAAACTTTTCTCTAATCTTGTCTGCTAAATATTTAAAAGTAATTGAAGTTCTGAAAAATAAACACAGATATTCAGTCACCAATTGTATTTCAGTCTGTTTTTAGCTTTCGTCCTTTTGAAACGTTAACATTTCAGTTTATATAGGCGTTAAAACTCTTCCAGTAAAACTGATTCTAGTTATAAAAGTTTTAGTTACATCAATTTATTCAGTTTTCTATGAATTTTAAAGCTGCACAACCATTTACTACGTATTAGTGTATCATTATAAAACTTCCCTTAAGAATGTAGTTACTTACTGACTTACTTTTTAAGAATGCTTGTCGATGGCTCTTTCTCGTCTCATTCGAGAGCATATACCATTAGGATTTAGCTAAGAGCAAATCAAATCATTTACGTCGTTTATCATCCAGCAAGTTGACATATTCAAGACATATAGCCTATCATTATTTCATTCATATCAGCTACAACAACTTCCCTCTTTATTGCAAATCTAAATGTAACATACCCACTACATAATGTTTACGAAATGTTTTTTTACATGTAATTCTAGAATTGTGAGAAAATCTTCCTACTAACACACTCCTTGTTATAATTTTTCAGTTAATTTCTCTCACCTTCATAACCTAAGAAACAAAATTTGTCCTTATATATAGTATATATATAGTATAGAGTAGCTGGTTTAGTATCACTATGCTGTTGTAAAATGCAATTTCCTGAAGATCGATCAATAACATGATTATCCCCGAATGCCGTGGTACGGCCGAGAGTGGGGAGAGTCAGCTCTCCCTCTCGAAATTCTCTCACATGGCCACATGCATACAACCACTGCCAGAGAAGTCCTACTCACTGCCTTCTCGCTGCACCGGTGTTGTTTACAAAATTGAGAAGACGAAAAGCGAATAAGTGGCTCTTTAACCGGATTACTGGACATGGAGAGTCCACTTAGGGGAGCTAGAAAACCCTGATTCCAAACCATTGTTGCACATGAGCTCCAGTATCCTGAAGTAACAAATGGCGTATGAACCTACTGTTGGTGACCGGCTACCATGGGATTGCATCTCCTGACGTTGCTCCACTACCTGTAAATCAGACCTTTAGGTTGAAGGCTCCCGGTGTGACCTCCCAAGATAATCACCTGTTTCGGTTTGCGCATCCTGGAAGTATCCCAGCCCTCACACAAATCTAATGATTTATATGGCGTATATCTATTTGGTGCCTCCTTGTACCAGTGTTTAAGTGTTTAAATAAATATTTTCGAGGATCATTTTTCTCTTTTGTTAAGTGTAATAGCTTAAACCCTTATAGCTATACTATTGTGGCTAATCTCTGTTACCACACACCTACCTGATTTTTTCAAAACTTTGAACAGATCAATTATTCGATTCTTTTTATTTATTATATCACCCTTATATCTGCCTTTGCAGATTACTCACTTGAAACCTTAACTCTGCTTTATAAATATGTATCTCTGGTACGTATATTTTTGTATACTGTAATGTATCTCTTTCATGTATATAAAGACTGTGTCACCTATTACTCAATGAGTCCGACATTTCTGTCATTTCAGTTCACATTCACTTCTTTTCATCTCTTATTATTCGTCTGAATTAAGTAATGTCTGAAATATTTGTTCTTCAAATACTTCTGAATTAGACTTCTAATATCTATGTTGTTATTAACGGGATACGTTAAGCGAATATGTACGAAGTGAATGTGATATATATTTTATTAAAATCCGTATCATTTGATGATCTTGGAGTCAGACTGTTGGCGTAAAACTATTTTACGTCCGCATGGTTGTGTTAATGGACGTCACTTCTGTAGAGTTGAAAATGGCTCAGATACTAGGCCTGTAGTAAGGGAAGACTCAGGTGGGGAAAGCCAACGTATAGCTTAGTGCAAAATTGCAAAGTTCTTTGCTAAGATGTGACAATCATACTTTAAATACTTCATTTGCAAATCTTCCATTAATCATCCTTTACACTGTGTATAATTCTTCCAATTCTCATTTCATTTCTACTTCCCTCTCTGTTTTCTTCAGTTAGGTCTTCTTAGGTTTCTGCTGCCAGGCATTGGTGTTACCTACTACTTATGTCGAAAGACATAAGTAGCAAACACCTCAGGCCGTGCTATATTTCTGATTAGCTTAAGTTAAAGGATTCCAATCATTGTTTAATCAATGTACCCCACTGACACTTAAGTTTGTTTACGTTTAATTTTGTCAAGGCCTTCAATTAACTTATTTGGCAGACGGTGTGGCTCGAACAGTAAAAATTCATCTACATCTACATCTGTGTGCCTGATCGCGTGTTATGGCCCCATACACATCTCTCTTATTCGCTTAAGTATTAGTTGCTCGAATTTCTCGGTAAATCGTCTCTGAATTTTATCAAATCATTTGACTTTAATTCACTTCTGTATTTGCTCGCTCTCATTAGCATTTCTTCTCGAATTGGCTTTGTGTTCTTGTGTTCTGTAGTCGACGTTTCGTATTATCTTCTGAAATTTATTTTGCATTGAGATTTATTTAATGAAGGCTATCAGGACGATTGATATACGAAGCCTTAAGAATTATTTTGAAGATAATCCACTACAAAATAATGTAGTTTTCTAGCTGGCTGTTCTTCATTCACTTACTAGATAAAATAACATCTGTGACATTTGTTTTTCTATCTTTACTATTTTTCGCATAAATATTGTGTTTCCAGTCAACTTAGTAAGTAGTTAGTTACTAATGATTACAACCATAAAAAAGAAAATTTACCTCTCAACTTGGGAAACTCAGTTTTTCAATGTTTGTTAATAATAATAATTATTATTATTATCGTCAATTACGTTTGTTCAAATTTAAGTAATTGGACTCTGATTAGTGAACTTCACTTCTCACTTTTTCAGTATTTCAGTAGTCTAAGTATTTTCAAGTATATTAGTAGAAAATATTTATTAAATGGTCAAATTACAAGTATTTGATATGATCATTCCTTTCTTTAAACTACATTCAGCTCATCTTTCTAGGCATTCCATTTTCTTTAATTCATTTGAAAACCTTGTAGATACAACTTGTACATGATAACTTAGTTATGTGATTTAGTTCGACATATATGTACGTCATTGATAAACTATGATAGAGGATGTTAATAATAGTTAGGAGTATGTAAGATTAAAAATGTCATCCTTTCGTTCAAAACTATGGGAAGTGAAATGTAGCCTTCATATACTTTTCGCTTAATACATTTCATACACCTTCTAGCTGTTGTACAACGGCTAGTCATCCTGATTAGATCATTATAGTGAAACTCATAACTCTAGTACTAGTTTGTATTATTAACTTTGAGCCACACTTTTTATTTAATGGTCAATGATGGAACTCAGACACTTGAACTAAAATGAATGAAGAAAGTTTCGAACTAGGTATATATGAGTTCAGAGATGATTACTTTCAAATTATTAAAGTACAAAGCAGACAAGCCCTTAAGCACACAGCTGTATAAGTTGAAAGAGAAGCGAAATAATAGACTGAGAAATCAGTAGATTTTCTCAACATCAGTTTGATGTTAAAATTACTGTATTCTCAAAGACGATATTATCTGGAACAATGTGAGTAGTGCTATTCTTCATACTTAATGTAATGTATGTTTCCTCAAAAACAGTGATTATGTATTGAAGCTTGTTTAGAAGACCAGTCAGTCAGCTACAACGTAGGACCAGGCACATATATGTATCGGTTCAAGTTGCCATACATCATTAGCACAGCAAGATGAACATCGAATTCATAGAAGTAGTTAGTTCAATTGTGGTAATATATAAAGGAAAGATTGTGTATAAGGATATAGTATTTCGTCGAAAAAAAGAAATATAGCTATTTTAATGTCATGGTTTAACGGAAGACAGAGAGTGTATACACCTACGGCACCCGATGACGGTTCGCCGTAAGCTCTGACTTGACTAGTAGTGTTCGACTAAAGAGCCTTCAAAAAGTTTATGTAATTCTGAGGTACACCTTTGAATGACAGACGCTATCATTTTCGGAAGCCGATAAGCATGCCTGTGTTCTAAAACATGACGAATAGTGAATATGTATTTAATAAATTCACGACCACGTTTGAAGCCAGCCTGATTTTCTCTACTGTTGTTGCTACCTTGATGAGGTGGTCGGGATTCCCTATCGTAATGAACCAATCGAGCTATACTGCCTAGAATAATCACTCTTCAAGGTCCTACCATGCCAGACGGGTCGGTTGAAGAACGGTAAGACTAAAAGCAACAAACCCAAGGTCCGAAGGCGAAGTCGTACTGCTGTCTGTACAGAGGTGTGGCAGCAGTATGATGTTTCCTTCAGACAACCAGCATAGCAGCGGTGCTGCCTTCCCATAAGGAGAGGTGGGGTTAGAAAGGGTCGACCCTAAAAGTGCACATCCCGCCTTATCTTATGGATATCCGTCTCTGGCGGTAAGGTCTCAACAAGTACGGAGCTAACACTAGAATTACTGACAAAATGGTCGTGTGTGACCGGCCTCAAGCAATTGTTCCTTGGGCACTGTGGTCACGCTCTCAGGTCACTAAGACTACCTGGAGTCCAATTTCTTTCTCAGGTACCTCCAGAAGAACCCTTCTACGGTGTGGGCAACCAGGAAGTGATAACTCCCCTTACACATCTAACAACATTCGAGATCACAATGTTAAGAAGATGGTCAAGATTTGTTTACAATCGTGTTTTCAAAAAATAAAGTCTACATTTGCAAATCCACACATACTTATTAAATAATATTGATAATAATAGGGCTTGACCGATCAACCGAGAAATTTTTTTAGTTGCTATGGCATCCTATATTTCTGTTGCTGTATACATATATAGATATATATATCATAGAGGTGTAGTAAATAATGATTTTTTTGGAAAATAATAGAATTGTT